TTTGGGATACCATCTCTCGTGAGTGATTTGTACGACTTACTAGTGCAGCAGTTGGAGCAGGAGATTGTCCCAACAGACTGGAGCAGCTCTGTTATAGTCCCAATTTTCAAGTGTGACTCAAGTTTGGAATTCAGCAAGTATGGATGAATCAGTCTGAGCTGAATTTTTTCTAAATTGCTTACATCTGTCGTACTCTGCAAACTTGCTGGCACCAGTGAAAACCATCGACGAAGCCGTGGAGACCGCTCCTAGGGGATCCACTTCTAGACATAAAAAATAGTAAACTAGATCTCCAGCTGTACGCCGTAACGGCGCTTCGCTGCCACGCGACCACCCCCAGTCGCACGTGGGCTGAGTTTATTGCGAGGACGCCCGCCCCTACGCCAATTCGAACCGGTGACCTTATGGTTCTAAACCAGACGCGCATACTACTCGGCCACCGGCCGACTTCTAGAGTACGCCGATGACATTACCATCTGTGAGTTACCAAATGTGCCAAGCAGCAGTGAAGAGATTACCACTGGCTCAATCATCATCATCAACAGCAGTACATCAGCCATTTGAACTGTTGCTTCGCTGTCATACAACCATGAGCATCTATGAAATAAAGAATAAGAAGAGGGAGAGAAGGTGGACTTACCTGAAAACCTTAATGCCCTAAGCAAACATTCAGGGTCAAGGCGCCTACACCTTGTGTAGACAACATACCGTCACAAACAATTGGATATCGTGCAAAGACAAGGCGCCATCGGCGAGACAGCTTCCTTGCGGCTTTCACTGTCCCGCGTCATAATCAGCCATTACCCCGCAGATAACTAAGCACCAAACACACTTCAAACAGGCAACCTGATTAGGAGACGGCAGCAGACGCGCCACTGGTGTCGGTTGCGAGCCATATCCTGTAAAGTCTCGAGCCAAGCACAAGGCGAGTTACGTGGACTCCAGCCCGGAAGGCGAGACAGACCAACAGCACCCAGTTTGGTCGTCAGTGACTTCATTTCCCGCTGCCAAGTCAACTTCTGTCTACCTCGAGCCTTGCGCCACCCTACACCTGGCAGACTAAACAAAGCCCTCCTGGGTAAGTGGTGACCAGGCATACGGAGCACGTGCCCGAGCCAATGCAACTTATTCATTGCTATCTGTCGTTCTAGGGAGCTAGCATGATTATCACCACCTCGTACTCGCCTACGAACATCATCGTGGCGGACACGCTGGTGCCATCCGACTAAAGCAATGCTTCGCAGACAACGATGATCAAAGACTTGAAGGCGCCTCAGATCTTCAGACCGAGGGGGCCAAGTCTCACTACCATACAGCAGAACGGCCCTCACTGTGGCCTTGTATACCCGGCCTTTCAGACGAAGGAAAACTCCCTTCTGTAGCCAAAGATGCCGCCGGTTCAAGAAGGTAGCTCTGGATACTGCAATGCGTGAACTGATTTCAGATTTTATGCGCCCATCGTTGCTGATGCAGCTGCCAAGATAAGCGAAATGATCAACCACCTCGAGTTTCTCGTTAGCAAGTGTCAAAGGGTCATCAAGTGGCTGGTGATCCTGCAGCAACACTTTGCACTTTGAAGGTGCGAAGTGCATACCAAATAATGGGACCACTCTGGACAGGCTATTTAGGGTTGATTGTGCCACCCCAACATCGTCGAAAAGCAAGAGGATATCGTCCGCATAATCTAGATTAACTAACCTTTCACCAGGCAGCACTTCAACGCCTACATCGTGAGATTCCCAAAGCGAACACTCCATGATAGAATCCACGACGAAGTTGAACAAAAATGGGGAAATCGGACAACCCTGACGAACGCCACTTGTGGTCGGAAAGCTATCCGGTAGGACACCGTAGACCCTGACGCGGCCTGTAGTGTTCGAGTACAGAGCACGAAGGATATTCACATATCTCGTGGGAACACCTTTCCGCGCAAGTATTTCGAACAGAATCGATCGATCGACTGAATCGAACGCACTCTTGAAATCGAGACACACAGCTATTGTCGATCTGCGGTATGCGTGGCGCTGCTCTAGCACTTGCCGCAAAGTGAATATATGGTCTATACAGCCACGTCCTGGGCGGAAACCGGCCTGCTCTTCCCTATTCCAGGATTGCCGTTCCACAATGAGGCGACGAACGATAATCGAGGCCAATAGTTTTGTCACAACTGGCGTTAGGCTAATACCCCTGTGGTTCGCACAGTCTGTGCAACTGCCCTTCTTGTATGCTGCCACTATAATCGATTCGCTCCAATTAGTCGGGACACTCCCTTCCTTCCAGATACGTTCGAATGGGGAGGTCAGTGCTTTGCAGAGGACCTCACCTCCATCCTTAAGTAGTGCAGGTGGGAGGGAATCCGGGTCAGCGGCACGAAAACGATTAAGGGCTGTGATCGCGTTTCGGATCTCGGCTTCCGATGGAGACTCTAAACTAACCGTCCATGGCTCGTCCTGCATTACCTGAGTAGGAAGAGGTCCGGGAGCAGGGGGCCAGCTGAACTGATCTTGAAAGTGTTCTCTCAACGAGCCATACGGCACCCTTTAATGTGCATCAGCGCACCCGCGCTGTCTCTGATTGTCTCACTTACGCCTGGTTTTCTAAAAACCAGTGGTGCGGATTAGCTGGAAGAGCTTGTGTTAAATGCCTACTGCTCAGTCGTTTTGGGCTAGTCTTTGCACCTCGAAATGCAAAGTCCATCTCCAAGATTCGCAGGGATCCACCCTTTCGCTGAAGTTTGATGGTGATCATTTAGAAGTCGTCAGAGATCTCGGTATTCAGGCAGCTATATTAACGCTTCAAGACAGACGAGGTCAAGAACTGCATGGCAAAAGCCCGCAGCTCTTTTGCTTACTTACGTCACCCGTGTCGCTGGCGCGAAATCCCAAGCACTCTGCTGAGCTGATCTTACAATGCAACCGTCCGTTCAACCCTCATGTGCGAGTGCAAAAGCTGGTCCATCAAGTCGACAGACATAAAGAGGCTAATTGAATACGATCATCGTTGTGTTCGCAGCTTAGCTCATGTCTGGTGGGAATCGCGTGAGCAATGAGTGTGTTCGACGTCGTGTATTTGGTGCAAGAGAAGCGAGTGAGGCGCTCAGCAACATTATTGCACGCACCAGGCCACGTGTCGCGAAGGAAAGTACATCGACCATTGCGTCGTGCGCTGTCTGCGCGACCGAGGTGTGGATGGAAGGAGGGGAGGCTAAACGAGTTGATCAAGAGAAATGAAATCCCTCACTTCGAATATGGCGTCGGTGTCTGCTAAAAGCCAAGCAGGAGTCCGAGGAACCACGGACACATCTAGTTGACAAGGAGAAGAGCCGACCTCAATGGCGTTTGTGTTGTGGGTTTCTATTTTGCTCTCCCTTCGCTTTAGCTTCTCACTCCAACAACGATTTCATACCCAATGCGTAAGATGAAATTTGGTATCATATTACCTTATAGTTTTTATCGTCCGTAATGTTTGATATTTTTTGAATGGCGGCACATTAGTTGGGTGTTTATCGCCCTCAGCTAACATGTTTTGATGATGTTTAAGAACAAGAGATGGAGAACTGCAGGGAAACATGATTCCATTAGTGTCAGACAGAAGTGATAACTTATGGACACCAAAACGGATCGAAGCAAGGTAAGTAGGAGGCGAAAAAGGGAAAGGCACCAAATGAGCGTCGGTATGGATAACCGGCGCTTTGCTCCACACGACTGGGACTAGTCGCGTTCGGACTAGAGGCTGCGTGTTCTCTGAGTGACGGATCGTCGTCCACAAAATGTAATAGCGGTGGTAAATAATGGAAATAAACAAAAGCAACAGAACAATTAGTTTCTTTAGGTTGCTTTATCCCGTGTGTTCATTGCTTCGGATAAACAAACCTATCTAGAAGATGACTGAACACTTGTAAAACGTTCCACGCCGAAGGGTGATTCTTTTCTAAATACCTAAACCGACTGGCTCCCTCAAGTAGCTTTTCGATGAACTTGATGATTGGAGACAGGTCAGCAAAACCATGCAGCCGTTTTAGCTAGAAGATCAATGGCGTTCAAAAAGAAGCGGTGCATCGCGACAATTCGCTTGACAGATGCCGTGTAAAGGAACAGTTTTGCTCCGAGGAGACACCACAATGTACTTAAAGCTTACAGAACGTAATCACTTATAACCGTTTCAAATAAGTGAAGAAATTGTTAAACGACGCGTTAGTTACGTATCGGCCTTCTAGTTGATTAAAATGATTATAAATGAAGTTTAGGTGATAAAGCAATGCAAAACTGCCGAAACGTGAGTGAAGCTTAATGAAATGAAACGATTAGCTTACTTGTTCGAGCCGTTGAGTTACAAAAGGTGCATAACAATGAGTTAAATGATTGGATAGACAGCCTACGTCAAAATTCTGAACTAAACCAAGTCAACGGTGCTTTTGGAATGGATGATTAAGTCTAAGGCTACCCTCACCCTTTAATAGACTAGGTGTCGCACCAGATCATATTCGCGGAAACAAATAGCTACATATCACTGCGTTACTTGTCGATGATACACGTCGGATGAGGTCATAGAATAACCAAGCTTTTTGAGCCGTAACGATTCTGGACAGGAGCAAAAAACGGCTTTACTTACCTAGGTCTTTGGCCGTGTATTTTACCTTACTTCGAGTCTATTAATTATGTCCGCAGGCAATAACGGTTGGTATCCTGATGAAGAGTTGAAACCTGAACCGTTATGCATCGATTCGAAACAGTACCACAGTGACAAAAAGAAAAAGGGAATCACAATGCAAACGTAAACGAAAATAGCACTGAAGATCAGATAAGATGGAACACCAGACTGAAGTGTAACTAGTCTAGTATCAATGTTGGTGCCGGACAGGAGCACTGTAGTTCATTGGTGGGAAATATCATTCAGATAACTGCCTTTTGAGTAGGGCCACTAATCGGGGCATCAACTATTGAGAAAGCGGTGTGAGAATATGTTAGCTTTGGCTTAAATGAATTAAAAAGAACGCTTACAAGGCGACCCCGACCCTTGACTTTGCGTCCGGAACGATCATCCTTACGCTCTCGGGTTGCACGTACCAGTTCACGACCGACGGCTGCAGCAACATGTCTGGAAGCATAGCAAAATGTTGAGCGGGAACACTTGGATAGTGGTGAAGAATGGTAAGGTTTCGCTCAGCATGACGACAAACCAGATGAGATTAGATAAGCAATGTCAAGGAAGTTATGTACGAATCCGAGACCAATGGCCGAAATAGGGCTTGTGCGCTGCAGTCAATCAACTGATGAAAAACTTGGTAAACAGATCTAAGGAAACAGGTGCAGACTGCGATGGATAGAAAAATCAGTTCAACAATACTGAGTGGGGTCAGTGACAAGCGCCAACTGAGTGTGTTACTGCATCCACTTAAAAATGACAAAAATACAAGCTAAAACTAGAAGCCACGAAAATTTGGTAGCAGAAAATGTGACTTATTTCCGAACTCGGCCTACGGAGAATATAATGTAAAAAAGCTCATTGACGGTGGTTAAACTGGAGTGCATATAGATAAAACGACGTTCAAAACTAAAAGACCACGGGAAGCTGTTGGCAACTATAAGAAAACGGTGGGGATGGTTGACCAAGCTGTAGACGGTAGCAGAAAACGAGAGACCACAAGAAACAAGTGTCAGCCTGTCGTATTAGCACGAAAATGTAAAGTATAGACGGTTCGGACTGACAGTAAAAGGTAAACTGTAATCTACGGTGAAAATATATGGAAATTAAATCGAACTTCTAGCAGAAGATGGAGCGGAAACGTTTAGATGGTGGATAGCCATCGCAGTCGGCAGCAGCGTTTAAGGCGGCAAGTGTGGCTGACCAAACTTCGAAGATCGTGGTAAACTGAAAATTTGAGGTTATCATCGAGGAAAGTTTGATACTGGATAGCGAAAAGTAAACAAAGGCACCTCAAACTGGACACAATGAGCTATGATTTGCCTGTACGATCGTCTGCTTTGTCGCGACATGGTCGTAGAGAGCTTCAGTGGTTACACAGTACCTCATTCGACGATTTACGAGGCGAAAGAACTTAGATTATTATTGTGTCCTAACCATTCCACATAAGGATTCGGCACAGACCACATGTATACTGAACTTTCATGCCAGATGTAGTGAACATCAAGAACTGTTCGATGGGTGGAACTAATGACAGACTGAAGGTGGAGCAAATTAGCCGGAAGTTAGAAAAGTGAGTGAAAGTTGGCCTAGTGAAGGTGACAGCGTCACATTTTACAGGCTGCTCGTCAAAAGGGCGACGACAGGTTTCTGCTCGAATGACATTTGCAGTACTTAATCATCGGTTGGACGGTGTAGATCTAACAATGGAATAACAACCGGGACGATCAAGTGGGGAAGTGAAAGATCGCAACTTCGCATGTAATGTACCAAATCAGATACAGAGAAACATCAGGAAAAGCGGACACTATTCCGGAGAGAACAAAACAACTTAAAACCAAAGCCACTTAGATTCGGCAGATCTGCTGTATTCTGATAAATCACATACGCAATTAGACAAACCAACGGGCACGGAATGGATTTGTCAATCCTAAATGACGCATCGTGACGGATGCGTCGGTAATCGTAGATTGCCTCTAGGCGAACAAATCGTAATGTCAGCTAGTGCTGGGGGGAAAGGTTCCAAATAGCCAAGTAAGTACTTGTATTATCGGCAAAGATGGATTACCTAAGGGTGCGCACGCGTCACCGCAATGATAACCTAAGGGGAGCAGACTTCACTTTCCAGACTGGCTAAGAGCCAGAAATGAAGGTACTCAGCTTACGGGTCTGTTGTTAGCTCCAACAGAAAAATAATAGACAAAATATTTGAGAAAACACAAACCGAGTACAAAAATAGTAAATTTGCCTACAAAAGTGAAGGCTGAAAAGACCGTCACTCACCATACGATCCAGGTGCGTTATGTTCATTCTTTTGATAATAAAAACTAAGAAAAACACATCGAGCAAATCAGGTGCTTAACGGTGAAGAGTGAGAAAACAAGGCACTAGTGCAGTTCACTCGTGTAACGAGAACACCAAAGTAGACATAGTTCAAAATGACTGTCTTGTAGGAGAGGAGTGACAAGCACGGTTTGCGCATGTGGCAACTGCGCCGCCGAATTTCTTCAAATCAAAAGCGCAGAATAAAGGTGAACAGTTGAAGATAGAAACAGAGGAATGTGCGATCGTTAGTGACATGTATGAAAGAGGAGGCACGCGACAAGTGCCGAGAGAGGCACCGGAGCTCCTGGTTAGCAAATGTAGAGAAAAGAAGAGGAAGAGCACTCCCGAGGACCGACTCACTTGATGAAGGAGCCGTTGCTATGAAGCAGTTTCAGTACACTCATTGAGTCGATAGGTTCGGGCCTAGTGAGTTGGTCGAAAATGCAGTTTAGACTTCCGGCAAATTTTGAAACGAGAACAAGGTGCCGGTGACCGCAAAAAGATTAATTGTATCCTTACTAGGTTCGGGGGAAAATTTAGACGTTTTCAGGCTACAGTGTAACTAAAAGCTATTTCTTCGCTTCCAGGCTTCACCCGCTACTAAGCGGACTTCGAAAACGTACCTGGAATATCACATGTTAAGTTCATTTTCACTATTTACTGACGCTCTTGATGGTGGCAGCAACGCCTGAAAGGCACAAGGATATAAAACGCTAAAACGTAGCGCAACACTTCTCACTATAATGAGCAATTCCTAACATCCTGACCCTGGTGCATGCTGCGAGACAAAAAGCACTGACCTATGGTTAGATTGTTCTGTTTGCATATCTTCAGTTTTTCGATCAGCCTCAAGCTTGCCCCGATAAAGGAATCTAGGGGCAGGAACTTCAGGAACCTCCTCGGGTCGTACGCTGCATTCAATCTCGCCGTCAGACCTATAACAAGTGAACCTGTACGGAGGGGAATTACATTTCAGAAGAATCTCTAGCGGCTCGGTGTTTCCGTTTCTTCTCCTTTTTGCTTTTCTTTTTGGCTTTCTTGGCAGTTTCTGTATCCTTCAGCTTTTTCTTTTTTACTAAAAACAAAAATAGACAAGAGCATTTACAAACCAGGAATCAGCTCGCCACATGAAACGATGGTGACAGGCTTGATTGGTCGGTGAGTTTTTGTATCACATATAGGCACAGACTCTATCTTGCGCACAACATCTTCCCCGGACAGAACATGACCAAACACAACATGTTTCCCATCGAGATGGGGGGCGGGCGCTGTGGTTCTGGAGGGAAATATGGTCAATAGGAAACGTACATGAAAAACTGAGACCCATTAGAATTAGGACCTCTATTTGCCATCGAGAGTAAGAAAGGGCGGTCGTGAGGAGTAGTGAGACACTCGTCTTAGGAAACTTAATGAGACAAGCACGCAAAGAATACCGGCAAAAGTTCCTCCATATATAGACTCGCCACCCGTCCCATCCTTGTTGCTGAAATCGCCCCCTTGCACCATAAAACCTTTTATTACACGATGGAATATGCTGCCTTGATACTGCAGGGGTTTCGCTGTTTTTAGACCGAGTCCACAATTCCCTGGAGGAACAAAATGCGATAAGCAGAAGAACTACCTTGACACAACTTTTTGAAATTTTCCGTTGCTTTTGGACATAGTTCGTTAAAAAGTTCCAGCACAATACGTCCAGCTTCAAATAAAAATAAAAGCTGCAGAATAAACAATACCTGGAATACTGTCGATGCTTATGTCGAAAAAACAACGTGAGCGGAACTTCGTCTTCCCCATAGCAAGTAACCAAAAATGACACCGATGGCGGCCGAAGCGCTATGAAATAATTCTCCTAGTGCGTTCAAACAAAATCAATCTATAATTTAACCTTTAGCGCACGCCACTTTTTAACAAACCAGGTTTACGTAATACTACCTCAACAATCTTTTGTTACTAACTTCACTGATAGTTGTTGCACACGGAACGGTAGCTCAAGTTCAACTTCGTGGAACTGGAACAATACAATCATCCCGTGAGTGCTCCTTATTAAGCGGGCCGCTGTGCCAGAATTTGGCAACATTTGAACTGCTGATAGACCTAAAACAAAGATCGCAGCACACCCTGTCCAACCAATTAATGCCCACGTATCCTGTCCTAGCAGTTCCTGCTTGGCCAGTTAGGTGAAGTAAGAGACAGACATACTAAGCTTCGAAGGCAAGTACAGGAAGTTCAAAAATCTAAGCCAGCAGAAATCCAAGCTATTTGATTCATTAAAAAGTGAAGTGAAACGTGTAGGTGAGTCAGTTGGGAAAAGGAAATGTTTGGTGTTGACACCCAAGAGCATCGAGTTGGCTTGTAAGGCTCATAACGGGAGGTTACCTAACCACATGATCTGCAAGCGAATTCCCGCGATCTATAACGGCGCGGCAGACGTTTTTCCGTCCTACTCCTATCAGACCGTGGTTTATGAAGTTTCAGTGTGTGACCGCGACAGTTAGGTAACGTAGCGGGACTAAATGGCCCTGTGTTGTCCGGGCCGACCTTACCCGTCAAAATACGATAAAGGAAATCAGGTCCCACGTGTCCTCCAGTAGTGCATGGCTTACCTCATTAAACTAAGTGAGCGTTCAGGGCACGTCTGTCCCTTAAACCCTGCACTACCTGAGTGTCCACTTGTAACAACCTCACCTAGTCCATTCTGTCTCGAATGACGCCTGGTGGACAAACCTGGATATCATATACCAGGTAGGGTCAAACGAAGGCCGAGAATAGCTTCACAAACAAATCTGCCGTTAGGACTGCGAAAGAACGGTGGATAAACTACATCATACGCAACCTCGACAAGCGGCCTTCCACTTGTCACCAGAATGAAGTGTTGATGAGCGCACGACCTGTAGAGCAAGTTGCTAAGTGACAACAGGGCGTTTACCACCGCCAACAACCTATCAGGTGGATGGACTGGCAGCTCCACTTCGGAGAACAGAGCACTTGGTGCTATTTAGGAACACCAAATATAAGGTAGACCATTGCCAGAGCCTATCCAAAGCACCTTGACTTATCTCCGGACCCCGGAATAACCCCAATGTTCCATAGAGTAAGGCGGTCCTCAATCGTAAGTAATGTGACTCCTAGCTCCCCATGCAACTTATCTACATAGACCGCGAACAACTATGGCCCCAATACAGAGCCCTGCGGGATGCCGCTAAGGACCTCTTGTCTGAGTGAAAGACTACGCCCACCCAATCCACAAGAGCAAATTTCATCATTGAACTCAAATCGGCCAGAATCAAACGAAGCTTCCCACGGTCTTACCAATCTGTACGCTTCGTTGCTTAACTTTTCAAGTTCAAGTGCAAGCTCGTTTGGTAGCGGAACGATGGGATAATCCCGTGAAAGTTCCCACTTTTGCGTATCGTTAAAACTTACGTTGCGAAGTCTACTTGAGAGGTTGAAATGTCTAAACCCAAGGCCGCATCACACCCAAGCCAAACAATTACTGCCCATATTTCCCTGCCCAGCAGTTGTTTCCAGGCCAGTTTATGTGAAGTATGCAAGAGTGAAGCCAAGGAAACAATAGGGAGAAGGTAGGCTAAATAATTATGATACCAAGGTATGAGGAAAAATAGCGAAAGGAAAGGAGGTTGGCGATACAATTCTAGCGGGGGAAGAAAAGGTTTGATGCTGCCAAACAGCGGTAACTAACCGACACTCGAAACCCTCAACCGGATACCCCCTAACGCCTTGCTCCGGGGGCGAGTTCCAAGGTTAAATAACCGGGCACAACACTCGAGTTTCCGTCCTAACCAGAAGTGTCCAGTGCACGAGGCCTATACTTGGCTAGGTTGCGTAATGTGGTCGGTTACGTAAGTCGCATATGGCCTCAACGTTTATGATGCCGTGAAACTGCATTTAAAACTTGTATGCCAAAATGAGTTTATTTATGCCTTATTGATTGCTTTGTTTTGGATACATTTTACATGATGTTTATTGTTCTCATTAAAATGCGGAGGAGTATTTGATTACGGATCCCCACGTTGGATAACAAAGCTATTTTCAGACGACTGGTAAGAAGTGTGTATCAAAACTGTGCACAAATGCAACAGGACGCCCGGAAGTTTCGGATATCTATGCGACGTGTTTTTTTTGTAAAAGATGTAGACACGAAAGAACCATGAGCGGAAGTATAACCAGAAGTTCCCCATGGGTTGTGAATACGGATATGTGCAGTTCCGTTGCATTCATAGTAGTGTAAAAAACGCGATCCGCAAGCGGTACGTTGTGTGTGTTAGCCTGTTAACGCATGTAACTTAGATACCGTAATTCCAAATGCAAGGCCTATTTTGGGTTCACTCTGAATGGCTGCGAGTGCATACTGGGTCTAGGCCCTATGCAGCATACGCGTGGTTTCCATGTAAAATACCCATGGCTGCACGCGAGGAACAGTCGTTCACAGATGTGCAAGAGGAGCAGGTGGGCAGCTTGATATCCACCTTCCAATCAATCATGAAATGCGGAAGTATATAGCGGGGAATTTGGGTGTGCGCTTCCCCCCAACCGTTGTTCGCGATGAAGGCTCGTGGGAACGTACGCGGTGCGGATAAAGTTTCGACTGTATTGAACCTGTTGCAGAAAAGCGACTAGTTCCGTTTAGTAAAGGTGGGGAACGAAGTTAGTTACGAAATTTTCGTTCCATCGCGCATGCACGCAATTGTAAGCTGATACCACCGCGTTAGGTTGTCAGATGCGAAGCAGCAAACAACCTAAGAAGGCTACGTTTTGGGGCATTTCCGTTTCATGGACATGATTGGTATCGTCCCGTCATATCTTTATGTGCTAGGGAAAGAAACGACAGGCGCGTACCAGTTAGCGGGGATCGATTCTTGAAACGTCAAACCTGCACATCTTGGTGACGGACAAATGCGCGGCACAATTTGGGGCCTTTCGTTCGCAGTACCCGTATGCTGCAATGGTGCCATGCCGGTTTCATGTTTTATGGGGTATGAGCCAAAGATGCACGCAGGTGCATGCGACATCTCCTGCCACAACACACTTGTTGAGGCCATTGTTGCGTAATTTGCTCTTCACGAGGGATCCGCAACAGGTTAGCATGTTTCTGTCCGCCTTTAATAGGCGGAATAAAGAATGCTACCGTTATTTGAAGCGGACATTACTTCCTTGAGTATCCCCCAAGACAGCTCATCGGCTGATATATGTATATATATATATATGCACGTTCGGTTGCTTCACAACTACGAGAGAGGAGAAGGAAAACCTGCAGCTGAAGAGGCGCTTAAGCGAGCGTTCATCGGTAATGACGCGGTTCACAGTGATTGTGGACCGTAGCAACTTGGTTACAGATGCAAGGCAAGGGAAACTGAGTACCTACTGGATGATTGGTTACAATCCGTTGGGGGATTGGGCGACGTGCGTTGTTGTGATTGTTCAGCTGACGCTGTATGTAGAAACGTACTATATACGTCTTTGTATACCCGTTCACCCAACCTCTGTTACAAGGCAGGAAAATGTGCGGAAGGCGCATGCTCTGCGTGGCACGTTTAATCGAGAGTACATTCTGAATGGAACCCGCTGTCGGTATGAGTTCACATGTCATTGGCGCATTCCGTGCGTGCATTTATGGTAGGTAGTGTCAATTGGTGTATGTGGTGAGGATACACCGCTGCTTGACTGCAGATGGTACATACCTGAAGGCGGCGGATCTCGTGTAGAGGTTGCCGACGTGGATGTAGCTCAGGTTCTGACGTAGCAAAAAGGGACAATAATGTTCAGCAGGTCTTGATGGATTGGGCAACCAAGGCGCGGAACTGGGAGGAATTGATGGTGGCGTTGGTCGTTGTGTATGCAACCTGTCGGCTGAAAAGTGTCAGCGGGTACTTAAGTCTATACGAAAGTTCGGCGCTGTTTTCCCGGCAGACGGATATGTATCTGTAATGTAGTAAATAAATAAATTGTTTATTCTTCTCATTGCGAGGCACGCCATCAAGGGCGTGCTCGTGACAATACAGACATGCATGATCGGCAATTGAACAAATTAGTACATTTTTACCAATAGCATGGGAATTTATGTGTGTTGAGATGTAAATCTATGTTTAACTGTAAAGCTGGAAGGAGACATGTTGTGTGAGTAGGTAAATGTGACTGTGTGTGCTTTGGTTCCTTGTGTTCGCCATCAAAAAGGGAATAAGTGGAAAGCTTTGAATCGGGTGACGTGCGTGATGTGTGAATGATCCTCCGGAAAAGGGAAGAGGCGGTGACTTTATTTAGTGGCGAGTCACACCCGCCACGTCACAGTGTTGTTAAACGGATACTTGTGGTGCTATATAGGGAGAACGCCTGCCAAGCGAAATCCCACCACATCCTGAAACACTGCCGCCGAACCATTTGCTGGAACGGGATTTACCCGAACCACCCAGCTGGTACCACGAGGAAGTTGTTCGGCTAGCCAGCCTTTGTGCGTCACACCAGCATTGTAAGTCAGGTCGCATGAGTTAAACGGGCTGCAGGGCAACACAATTGTGCAGCGGGACGCAGCAGTCATCGTCATCAACACAGGCGACGGATGGTCAGTCCATGAGGCAATCTATATGGAAGGCGCCTTCGCAGCTTCGATGATCTGTTGTTCCTGGTAATGAAATTATAGCCGACAACCAAATGCCTCGTAATTTGAAGACTAAAACCCCCACCGGAGTTGCTTACTCCGTGTGAATCGACAACGAACACCTAACTGACAGCGCGGAAGTGTTCGAAACCATCTATGCAGAATATTTGGACGAGGAGGAGCTTTCGGAATAGAATGGGTCGGTTAAGTGGGTTCTGTGCGCT